GGGGGGGGCGAGACTGGGAGTGAGAGTGCAGATGGGAGTTCAGGAAGGCCACTCACCAGAGGAGCCAGCTCTCCGCCAGCTGAGCAAACCCAGAGAGAAGATGATGAGGCCCAGGCCCAGAGTTGCCACAGACACAGAAACCTTCACTGTCTGCTCCGGGGACAGTCCAGGTGCTGCAAAACCAGAAACTTACTAGAACCGATCTTGGCTGCTCCTTCCCAGAGCAGCTTTATTTATTTCCACCGCCACCTGGCAGGTTCAAAGGTGCTTTACCCCAACCCCAAAGGTCTAGCTCACACTGCTTCACTCCTCAAAACTCCCATCCTGTGAATCTCTATTCCCAGAGTAACCCTGGGGGACCCCTAGAGTTAGCACCCTGGCTTCTAGTTCCTCTCTCATGCCGTGGGGCCTCTCTTCCTTTGCCCCGAAGGCACCCTCACCGAAGAAGAAGGCGTTGCTCCTTCCGCTGTCCATCGACCCCATGGTGACCATGTTTGCTCCCTTACTTGCTCTACCTGAGTTTTCCTATTAAAATGTCTTTCCACCTTTCCTAGCGCCCAGTGGTCCTATTCCGTGAGTTATGTGTCTCCTCCTGCCCACACCCAGATTTCCCATGTGTTCTTCCAGAACCTGCCTCCAGCCCATTTGCAGGCCCGAGCGGGTCCCCTCTAAACCCTGTCCCACAAGGCCTTCTTTCCCAGGCTAAGATGAACATGCCGCCCCCAAGGGAACTCCTTGGGCAGCTGTAAGGGGGGCTTGCCCAGGAGAGCCTGGGGAGCCTGCGGGCTCCTCTCTGCTCCCCGTGCCCTTCCAGGCCGCCCAAGGACACACAGGCCCCCCACAGGGGAGGGCTCCTCTCCGCAGACAGCCTGGGCCCTTCCCTGGCCCGCTGTAGACTCTTCCTCTTCCTCATTTCTTCGTCTTCTCTTTCCCGAGAATCCCCAGGTCTGTGTGCAGCTTCCCGGGTCCCTTCTCTCGGAGCCGCAGTGGCGGGGCTCCCGCAGAGGTGGCTCCTCGCTCTCCCTCCTGACGGGCCCGCCCGCGCCGCCCGCGCCGGGGGCCCCCTTCCTTCTGCAGCCCCCGCATTCCTCCAGCCCCCATTCCTGACCCCGCAGCAGGACAGCTGAAATCTGAGGGTCCTAGAGTATTGCGCCCACTGAGCCACACCCGCAGGGCTTTCCCTTCCTGAGCCCCGCGGCCGCCCCCAGGCGCGAGCCCTCCGCGCCTCCTCCAGGCCACTGCTCAGCCCCGCTCTCCCTCTCTAGCGCTCGCCAGGGGCCCAGGGACCCCTCCACACCTCACTCCCTCGCTCAGATCCTGGGGTCCATTTCCAACCGCCCACCAGCAATGGCTCCCCGCTTTGACCTGCTTCCTCCCCCTGCCGCGCGCTTACTCCAGTGCTGAAGGATGGGCTCAGGAGCCCCGATGTGCTCCACCACGCAGGTGTAGGTGTCCCCAAAAGCGGGGGTTGTGGCTAAATAGGAGAGGGTCTGGTATGTCCAGTCCCCATTGGGCTGGACAATCTTATGGGCACTGCCGTGAGGGGGGACAAGCTCCCCGTTCTTCCTCCACGTGATGGTCACATCCTCTGGGTAGAAGCCCCACACGTAGCAGGCCAGCATCACAGGCTCCCTCGTGTTGAAAGGAGTGGCTTTGGCCACTTGCACGGATGGCGGCCCTGCACAGAGGAAACCCGCGGTGAAGCAGGAGGGCCTCTTCCCCAGCCTGCCTTCTCTCCTTTAGCTCCTCATGGAATTTGCCAGACTACCCTCCCCGGGCCCACCCCGGACCCACCCCAGGCCATCACGCCTCCCTTTGAAAATAAGGAATTAGAAACTCATTCCTGCTTTGCTCTCTTCCCTGCCATTCCTCCACTGCCCTTCCTTTCCTCCTTCCCAAAATTATGTTTGATCACAAGAAGCATCAGCCAGGCCCAAACTGCAAGCGTCCCAGACAGCCCTGTATTTATCTCAAGCACAAAGTGGACAATTGTCTAGAGTTGCAAATTGGGGTTTATGTAAAGGTAGAAAAAGACTTTGNTGTATTTATCTCAAGCACAAAGTGGACAGTTGTCTAGAGTTGCAAATTGGGGTTTATGTAAAGGTAGAAAAAGACTTTGGTCCTCAAACCTCATTTAACAAATTAATTTGCTAAATAAATCCCCTTTTCCTCAGATAGTTTAAGGAAATGAGCCCAACTCAGGACTCTCTCAAATTTGGATAAATGCAGTTCAAATTAATGAGACTGTTAATGTATACATTTTTTACTAGTTTATTCTCCTCGGTCACCCTCCTACTTGCCTCTATCTTGGTGCTTTTCAAACAAAATCCCAGACCTTGTGTTAAAATGCAGATTGCCTAACCAGCATCCCCAGGTATTTTCATTCCACTGGTCTGCGGGGCTCTCAAGAGCTTGTATTTTTAAGGAGCACCTTCCCCAGGCAATTCTGAGGAAGGTGGATCAGAAATCACAGCTCAAGACACAATGCTCTTTCCTGTGGAGATCCAGTTTCCTGTACCACTCTCAGGTCATTGTCAGTGCAGGGGATTAAGGGTGAGAGAGCAGACATCGTGGGAGGCTTTCGGCAGATTCCATACCTGGGTCCATCCCAGACCTGGAAGCTCAGATCCTGGCATGGAAAGGCATGCACCTTGGGGAAGGCCACTCTGGCTATTCTGACATGTCCCTGGTGGAACCGGGATCTGCCAGTTGAGATGCCTGCCTAGGAGGAAAATACTCGGACTGTCCCCTCAAGAGCTCCTTGGGGCCTCAAGCATCACCTCCCCTCCTTTATTCCCGCTCCACCCCTGCAGACCACCTTGTGTCCCCTTTAGGGTCAACCCTCCCTTTTTACATCCAGGTCCACACACTTTCTGCTTCTTTTCTGCCCAAATCTCAAACCCCTTGCCTGCTGAGGGATCCTCCCTGGCCTCCCCTCTCTTAACTGTTCCTAATAGACCCTCCGCACCCCTCTCTCCTTACTTGTCCTTTGGGTCAGCGATCCCCAAAAGGGCTGCGTGTGGTTGGCACAATCTTGGAGCCCCTCAGACAAGCGCTGGAGCAGTTTTTCCTGCTGGTTGAGGGAATCTGAGAGGTATTTGGCCAAGATATTCAGTGCCCCAAATTCACAAGGGGTCATTGCTTTCTCCTTTGGATCCCAGCAGGACAGCAAATCTTTGTTGAAGGAGACACAGTATGTGAAATCCTGTGGAATTCCATTATCATCAAGCAGACAGGTGCTTTCCACATGGGCCAGGAAGCCACCTGCAGGAGCCAGAGAAGAGGGCGGGTCAGAAGCCAGGCTCAGTGACCCCAGCGAGCTCCGCATGTTTCCCACCTTNTTCAGTGACCCCAGCGAGCTGTGCACGTTTCCCACCTTGGCAGCATCTACCGGCCAAGCTCAGGCACGGGAGTCCCCAGGAGCCCCAATTAAGGGAGTCAATGGTAGCAGCAGAGGTGTTTTTAGAACTGTTTCCTCTTTATGTGAGACTAAGTNATGGTAGCAGCAGAGTTGTTTTTAGAACTGTTTCCTCTTTATGTGAGACTAAGTATGAGGACAGGAGTGGCCCAAGATTATTTGCATGTTTAAAAATGACAATTTGCCCAGGAAAAGACCTTCAAAAAGGCACATTATTGAGTGAGAAAGGGTCAAGGGAAAGAGTCAGTCCTGTTCTGTGCTGCACGTGTTACTAAATATTCACTCTACACATGTTTATGAAGCGCTCAGTGTGTGCCTGGCACTGTGTGAGCAGCTGGGGATGCAGCAAATGAGACAGCTGTGGCCCTTGACTCAATCCCAGCAGGAGGTCCCTATTACACAAATGATTACACAGCTTCACTGCTATTAAAATCGCTACACAGGAGCAGTGCAAGAGCTGCTAGAGTATATCACAGGGAAAAAAGCTAGTCTGTGTGTCCAAATCCAATGACAAAACTGAGCCCCCTTACCCCGAAACAGGAGGAGAGGAAGACAGGCCCCAGGAAGAAATGTCCTTACCTGCTCCGCTGCAGCCCAGGCTGAGGCCCAGCAGCAGCCGCAGGAGTGTGGTCATGATCTACTCTGGGAGGCGCAGGGAATTCGGTCCCCTGGCCCAGCTCTTCCAGGGGCCTTGAGTCCTTGCCTGCGCCAGAAACCCCAGCCTGGGTGGTGATCTCCAGACCCTGAGCAGAATACGGTATTTTGCAGGCCCCTTGAATCCCACTAAATAAATGATAGATTACTAACTTGTTCCTACCAGCTCATCTAAGTCCTGTCCCAAACTGAGGGTTGTCAGCTTGGCTAGGGAGCTGGGGACAAACGTAGAAACAAATCGGTAAGCGCCTCAGCCTAGCGTCATCAGTTGCTAGGTAAATCTCATCCTGCCCTAGGCTCTAAACAACTGGTCTCTTTCTTAACTCCTGCTGTGCAGCAACCATCTGTAGGTGGACTTCCCTGGGTCAGTAGAGGGAATACTCCCAGTATTCCCAGGACACATGTAGCCTGTCCTGCCAGCTGGTTGAGCCATTTCCTCTCAATGTCTTCCCCAAAGACCTACTAGATAACCTCTTTTGTTCCTTAAGGGAAGGTTACTTGGGAAGATATTCCATAACCTTTGGTCTGCCCTGTCATACAGCAGTTGGAGGACATGGCCCTTCTGGGGCAGGTGGCAGGGGCAGGAATGCTGAGAAGGAAGGAGGTGCGGGAAAGGGCAGGGTTTGCTCTGGCCTCAAAGCAAGACAGCAGAATCAGGAAGGCCACTCCACCATGGGCAGGGGCATGGCCTGAAAACCCCACCCTGGGCCTCCAGTCTTCCTTTGTCCAGCCAGTGGAGTTTCACGTCCCCCTTTCTGCTTTCTGGAGCAGAAAACCCTATGTCCTCCTATGCTCTGAGCCAGCCACCTCAGGGCAGCCTGCAGTCCAAATCCGCTTAGCCCCTTGATTGATAAAAGGCTACATGGGCCAGTGCCCAGAGCTCACCTGTCTGCCCCAAACTCAAAACTCCCCTGTGTGTTTCCCATCTGAGCCTGGGCAGGTACCTGCATTATGAAGCCATGAGAAAAATAAGATAAAGCTTCCCTAATTTTCTTCCCCTAGAAAAGACAGAATTTATTCAATTTTTTATGTTTTTATTAAATTTATTGGGGTGACATTGGCCAATAGGACCATATAGGTTTCAAGTGTACATTTCTATGATACAAGATCTGTACATTGCACTGTGTGCCCATCACCCAAAGTCAAATCATCCTCCATCACTACATTTGACCCCTACACCCTTTACTACTTCTCCCCACCCCCTTCCCTCTGGTAACCACCACACTGCCATTTGTGTCTATGAATTTCAGTTTTATATCCCACATATGAGTGAAATCATATGGTTCTTAGCTTTTTTCCAACTGACTTATTTCACTTAACCTAATATTCTCAAGCTCTATAGTTGTTGTTGCGAATGGCAATATTGCATCCTTTCTCATGGCTGCGTAGTAGTATCTATAGTATATATGTCCTGCATCTTCTTTATCCAGTCCTCTATCAAAGGACACTTTGGTTGTCTCCATGTCTTGGCCACCGTGAATAATGGTGCAATGAACATAGGGGTGCATATATCCTCACAAATAAATGTTTCCAAGTTTTTCAAGTAGATACCCAGAAGAGGGATTGCTGGGTCATATGGTAGCTTTTTCTTAATTTTTTGAGGAACTGCCAGACTGTTTTCCATAGTGGCTGTACCAGTCTACATTCCCACCAGCAGTGAATGAGGGTTNGGTGAATGAGGGTTCCTTTTCTCCACAACCTCTCCAACACTTGTCATTACTAGCCTTGTTCATAATAGCCATTCTAACAAGTGTGAGGTGGTATTTCATTGTGGTTTTGATTTGCATTTCCCTAATTGCTAGTGAAGTTGAGCATCTTTTCATATATCTATTGGCTATTCCTATGTCTTCTTGGGAGAGGTCCTCTGCTCATTTTTTAATTGGATTGTTTGTTTGCTTGGTGTTGAGTTGTATGACTTCTTTATATATTTTGGATATTAACCCCTTGTTGGAGCTGTTGTTTACAAATATCACCTGCTATTTGATTGGTAGCCTTTTTGTTTTGTTGTGCAGAAGCTTTTTAGTTTGATATAGTCATTTATTTTTGCCTTTACTTCCCTTAACTTTGGGGTCAAATTCATAAAATAGTCTCTCTGACCAAGGTCCATAAGTTTAGTACCTATTTTTTCTTCTATGTAATTTACGGTTTCAGGTCTTATATTTAGGTATTTGATCAATTTTAAGTTAATTTTTGTACATGGGGACAAACTGTAATACAGTTTCATTGTTTGCATACAGCTTTCCAATTTTCCCAGCACCATTTATTGAAGAGGCTTTCTTTTCTCCATTGTGTTTTTGGCTCCATTGTCAAAAATTATTTGCCCATATACATGTGGTTTTATTTCTAGGCTCTCAATTCTGTTCCATTGGTATGTGTGCCTGTTTCTCTGCCAATGCCATGCTATTTTGATTATCACAGCTCTGTAATATAATTTGAAGTCAAGTAGCACGATACTTCTGGCTTTGTTCTTTTTTCTCAGGATCGTTTTGGCTATTTGGGGTCTTTTGTGGTTCCATACAAATCTGATGATTTTTTGTTCTATTTCGTTAAACAATGACATTGGGATTTTGATGGGGATTGCATTAAATCTGTATATTGCTTTGGGTAATATGGCCATTTTAACTATGTTGATTCTTCCAATCCATGAACATGAAATGTCTATCTGGAAAAGACAGATTTTAAATGGTAATTCATTCTCCTACCCCATTGTGAACTATACCATTGGTGGCTTTTTCCATCACAAACTTACAGCCCTAAATTGGTTTCTCTCTGCTCCCCAACAGGCTTCCAGGCTGCCTATTCTCACCTTGGTTTCTTAAAACTCTTGGATTTGATTTAATAGTGAGTTAAACAAAAAAGGATTAGGAGGGAGCCCCCTGTCACCACATTTGTCTGTCATCCACCCCAAGAAATTTCTGATCTTTATGAAGAAAAATGGAAGGGCAAAAAAGCATGCACCAAAAGTAATACTAAGATGAATGAATATCAGAAACAAGACTTGTTTCATACAACTGAAAGTGTGCCCATGTTTCCAGGCTGCCCTGGTGATAAGACTGTTCTGGATACTAACTCCTCTAATGAACCATCAAGGGCATTGGAGTGGGCAGAAGATGGGGCGGGAGACCAAAATTTGATGAGTTTCTTCTTCGTTACAAATTCTATACTAGGCAGGCCTTTTACATGCTGTCTCATTTAATCTTAAAAGACCTGTTCCTTGTCCTCACTTTACAGTTTTGGAAAAAGATCCAAAGATACACACCCAAGGTCTAGAGGTACACACACACACACACACACACACACACACACACACACACAAGAGTGTGCCCACACACGGGCTCCCTCCTGGGACTGAGACAACCCTCATGGCTAGCAGTGGCTCTGCTGAGGAAAGAAGAAAGGCAAGGGCCGCGGGATCCAACCGGGCCTTGTCTCTCCCGTTCTCAGACTTCCTTCTGCTCCTATAACTAATGTCTCTTCCACTTTCCCTTTCAGTGGTTTCAAACTGGGCGAGTTCTCCTACACACGCACACTTCCCCCTTACACCTCCCCCTCCCACTAGGTAGGCGGGAGCCCAACCTCGCAGGAGCTAGGCCTTGGCCCCTTACATGCTCACAAAGCCCGGCCTGGCCCAGGACCCCTCGGTGTGGCCCTCGCCCAGCGGCCCAGGCTGAGCTCCCTCCTGCCCTCCCCAGCCCAGGCCTCTGCTCCTTCGGCCAAAGGAGATGTGAAACCTGTGGGGCGGCAGCAGGAAATGTAGGTTTCACTTCCCTATTACAGAGAAGACGGGGTGATTTTTAGAATAAAGGACAGAAAAACCCGCAGACCTACGCTCAGCGAAGCAGTGCCTTCCTTCCCCTCTTCATCTTAAGCCTGCTTTGTTTTTTACAGACATAACTGTCCCCCACCCCCACTCAACCCAAAAGAATATTTCAGCTGCCCTGTCCACTGTTGGTGATCTGCTAACTATTTATGCAGCACTAGGACCCAAGAGGTTGGAGAGCCCCAGCCGGCTTCCCACAGCTGTCCCAATGTCACTGCCATATGCAGGGGCCCCAGGAGCGAGTCCTCCCTTTCCCAGGTGCTGGAAGTGAACTGATCAAGGCCTTTCTGTGCAAAGCAGTCCAGGGAGTTCCCAGAGCTGGGAGACAGGGCGTCGGCCCCACCGTTCCTCATTCACTTAGAGGGCCACTGGGGAGTGAGAATAAACATCTCTGAGGGCCCGGCCGCGCGGCTCGGGGGTTGAGCATCGACCCAGGATCCAGGAGGTCGTGGTTTCACTCCCGGTCAGGGCACATGCCCGGGTTGCTGGCTCGATCTGCAGTCGGGGGCATGCAGGAGGCGGCAGATCAATGACTCTCTCATCATTGATGTTTCTATGTATCTCTCTCTCCCTCTCCCTTCCTCTCTCTGAAATCAATAAAGATATATTTTTAAAAAAACACATCTATAAGGAGAAGCATTTATGTTAAAGCCAGTGAGCCATTAGGCCAATGGACTTAAAAGGGAAAAGAGAAATCGCCGTGGGGGGCAATAGGGCGTCCCCTCCACCTGCGGGAGGGGCGCTGGGACTGGGCGCAGGCAGTGGGCGTCAGTCGCAGCGGGCATCTGCAGGGGCCTGGCCACGTGATGAGCTGCTGTCCCAGGCCTGGCAGGAGCCTGAGCCGCTCAAACAAAAATGAACTGCAACAATGTCAGTGGCACTGCACACTGGGGGAAGTCACAAATGTGCTCTCGTGCTTTTCCTGAGAGTGTGGCCATAACAATAAATCTCATCTAGTTACTTCCTAAGGCCGCTCCCTCTGAGGTCTCAGGTTCCTCTTCAGGACAGACGCTTTTAACTCGAGCCTCCACTTTAGAAACAAAAATCGCTCAACCCATCAGTTATTAGTAATCTAAGCCCAATAGCGTGGGACCACATTTGTGACTTCCTTCAATGTCTTTTCAAAACTACACACACCTGCACCTGCCGGGATTACACTGCTCCCCAGCCTGCCCGGCCTCGCCCAC